ATGAGCATGGAATATTTTTCTACTTGTTTGTGCCCTCTCTTGTTTCCTTGAACAGTGGTTGGTGGTTCTCCTTGAAGAGGTCCTTCACATCCCATGTTAGCTATATTCATAGGTGTTTTATTCTCTTTGTAGGAATAATGAATGGGAGTTCATTCATGATTTAGCTATTTGCTTGTCTATATTGGTGTAAAGAATTCTAGTGATTTTTGCACATTGATTCTGTATTCTGAGACTGATGAAGTTGCTTATCAGTTTAAGGAGTTTTTGGGCTTAGATGATGGGTTTTTCTAAATATAAAATCATGTCATCTGCAAACAGAGACAGTTGGACTCCCTCTCTTCCTATTTGAATACCCTTTATTTCTTTCTCTTGCCAGATTGCCCTGGCCAGAACTTCCAATACTGTGTTGAAGGGGAGTGGTGAGAGAGGGCATCCTTGTCTTGTACTGGTTTTCAAAGGGAATGCTTCCAGCTTTTGCCCATTCAATATGATACTGGTTGTGGGTTTGTCATAAAGAGCTCTTATTGTTTTGAGATGTATTCCATCAATACCTAGTTTATTGAGAGTTTTTAACATGAAGGTACGTTGAATTTTATTGAAGGCCTTTTCTGCATCTGTTGCCATAATCATGTGGTTTTTGTCTTTGGTTCTGTTTATGTGATGGATTATGTTTATTGATTTGTGTATGTGGAACCAGCCTTGTATCCCAGGGATGAAGTCAACTTGATTGTGGTGGATAAGTTTTTCAATATGCTGCTGGATTTGGTTTGCCAGTATTTTATTGAGGATTTTTTGCATCAATGTTCATCAAGGATATTGGTCTGAAGTTTTTTTTGTTGTGTCTCTTCCTGGTTTTGGTATCAGGATGATGGTGACTTCATAAAATGAGTTAGGAAGGAGTCCTTCCTTTTCAGTTGTTTGGATTAGTTTCAGAAGGAATGATATCAGCTCCTCTTTGTACTTCTGGTAGAATTGGGCTATGAGTCCATCTGGTCTTGGGCCTTTTTTGCTTGGTAGGCTATTAATTATTGCCTCAATTTCAGAACTTGCTATTGGTCTATTCAGGGATTTGACTTCTTCCTGGTTTAATCTTGGGAGAGTATATGTGTCTCGGAATTTCTCCATTTCTTCCAGATTTTCTAGTTTATTTGCATTAGATGCTTATAGTATTCTCTAATGGTAGTTTGTATTTCTGTGGGATCAATGGTGATATCCCTTTATCATTTTTTCATTGTGTCTATTCGATTCTTTTCTCTTTTCTTCTTTATTAGTCTAGCCAACGGTCTATTTTGTTAATTTTTTCAAAACACCAGCTCCTGGATTCAGTGATTTTTTTTTGGAGAGTTTTTTGTGTGTCTATCTCCTTCAATTCTGCTCTCATCTTAGTTATTTCTTGTCTTCTGTTAGCTTTTGGATTTGTTTGCTCTTTTATCTCTAGCTCTTTTAATTGTGAAGTTAGGGTATCAATTTGAGATTTTTCTAGCTTTCTGATGTGGGCATTTAGTGTTATAAATTTTTCTTTTCAGCCCTGTATTCATTCTCCTGTTCTTCTGAAACTACAATAATGTGAATATTAGATCTTGTTTTATAGGCCTACAGGTCCCTGAGGCTCTATTTATTTTATTTTAAGCCTATTTTTCTCTGATGTTCAGGTTGGATAATTTCTATTATTCTGTCTCTCTCAATTCACTGATTCTTTCTTTTATTTGCACAATTATACTGTTGTGTTCAGCCATTAAGCTTTTAAAATTTCAGTTGTATTTTTTAATTCAAAAATTCCAGTTTGGTTCTTCTTAATATATATTTTTTCTCTCTCTGCTGAGGCTTTCTACTTTGTTTCTCTTGTTCTAAGTGTGTTTATAAATGTTTCTTTGAAGCATTTTTATTATGACTGCTTTAAAAATCTTTGTCAAAAAATTCTGACATCACTATCATCTCAGTGTTTGTGTCCACTAATTATCATTTTCTGTTTTAGATCCTCCTGGTTCTTGGCACAACAATTTATTTCTGATTAAAACATAGGCACTTTCATATTATGTTATGAGACTCTGGATTTTATGTAAACCCTCTGTTTTAGTTGGCTTTTTGTAACTCTGATCCAGCACAGGGAGTGGGAAGGTAAGACCTCATTACTGAAAGATGGAAGTGGAAGTCCAAGTTCCCCATCTGGACTTCATTGACACTACGGACAGGAGGCGTCTAATTATTATTGGACAGATGTGGAGGTTCATCTCCATATGTAGCCTCCAATGAGACTGTGGTGGGGTCTAGGTGACAATTAGGACATGGCTTGACTTTTAGTCATTACTTTCATAAGAGATTCCTTATATATTACTACTTTAAATCTAGAAATGCACTCAATGAGGATTGGCCTGAGCATGAAGGTACAGACAAATAGTAAGATATTAATTAAGACTTCTCTGGTTACAAATAACAGAAACAAATTCAAGCTAGCTTAATAAAAAAAGCATAAGGTAGGGTAGGGGAAGAATTATAAGAAACTACAAAGCTACTCATGGAAACAAAGGGAGAGGGAATTCAGCCAGGCTTCAGGAAAGGACTTGTACTAGAAAATGGAAAACTTCCAAGGCTTTTTATTCATCTGCATTCTCTGCTTTTCTCTTTTCCACAGGAAAGTTTTTACTTCCCTTGGCTCAAATTTGCACCCTGCAGCAGTTTCATGTACAAGACTGATCCACTATCTCTCATTCCAATTCCAAAGTATAGAGAAAGATAATCTGACTGGCAACCATGCCAGTGGGTAGAGGTCATATAATTACAAACGCAGCTTTTGGAAACTCTACCCTTGTGGATGAAGAGGCAGTCCACAGAGAAGGGCAAATTGTGCCTGGAGTGGATACCCCCGAAAGTATCTGATATAGTATATGTGGAAATATTAAAAAGTAGGAAAGCAGCAGGCAAGGCCTTTCTTAACAGACAATCTCATTGCAAACTTCAACATTGGCAGGTTGATTTTTGTTGTTGTTGTTTTACAACTTAGTTCTTTATGGCTCCCTTTTTCTGTTTTATATATCCTTTGCCTGACTGTATCAACACTCTCACATACTGTTCCCTATAGTAAGTGATTCAGGGTAAGGTGAGAATAAGCAAAGAATGAGGAGATTACTCTTTGTTAAACCATCTTAGACATTGGTCTAAGTTAGGATTAAGGAGAAACTAGTTTATGTGATGTAAGAGTTTGCAGAATTATCACGTTGAAGGATATAACATCTGAATATAATCATAGGGCTGAAACTTAAATTGTCTGTTCTGTCCTTAAGCCAAAATGCGTAGGGTCTAGGTGGATTAATAGGTGAATTGTATGTAAACAAGATGATTTACATACCTTAAATTTCTCTCTGGTCAAACATGGGTCAGATTTCAAATATGGAGGAATAAATCCCATGCTTGGCATTTCATTTGGTAATGATGAAAATTCTTGAGAAAGATTATGCAAATCAAAATATAATTGGAGAGATTTTTTTTACTTCCAGGGAGATGAAGTAGGTGCATTTTCCCTATTCTTTGCACTAAAAATAACTACAAATCCTGGACATTACATAAAAAATAAACATAAGACAACTCTGAAAGGTAGAAAGCAGGCAGACCACCTAGGGATTTCAAGAACCAAGGAACAACACAGTGTTGTCTCCTGGGTTTTCTTTTTGCCTCATATATCCAAGACTTGCAGCCGAGGAAGCCAGCAATCTGAAAACACAAATGGGCCCATACACGTACACAAAAAGCTCTCGACAATAGCCTGTACTATACAGACAAACAACCAAGAAAGGGACAGCCTACTGATATAGAAAATGTTAGGCCATAACCACTGTACTCCAGCCAAGCACCACAGATAAACAGTGCCCTCACTCCCAACCATGTAAGCAGAGGCAGAGTGAGGGGCTTATGCTTCCACTCTTATGAGGTATAATAAGGCATCTCAAACCTCTGCCAGGGTGGTGCCAAAGAAGGACAGGTAGAAGCCAAAACTTTGACCCCCCTCCCCCGGCCTATAAAGAGTCTCTCCCTTCCCACAGGGTGTCATTGGAAACCAAATGGGGAGCCTTGATTTCCACACTCAATAGACAGAAATGAAGCCTCTTCCTCTCCCCATTGGGCTGGTGTAAAAGAGTCAGGGTTTTTACAAATGCACAGTAGCAATGGCTCATAGCTTTCACACATTTTCTTATTAAAGTATTCATAAGTTTCCAGTTGATATGTTAGTACTCTTTGTATATTAAATATATTGGTCATGTTTTTCACTTATAAAGAGAAATGGCAAGGCATAATGATGAATTTCAGGAGGACTCTGGAGTCAGAATATCTAGGTGGATTTGAATCCAGATTCTACTATGTATTGGCTAATGAGGTTTTGGATAAATTATTTAACCTTTTTGCACCTCAATTTTCTCATGTATAAAATGTAAAGTGTATACATATATAACTTTGAACAATGTGTAGCACATAGGAAATATATTACAAAAGCCTGTTGATAATATTAATATTGTATTTATTATTTTCAGCTTGTTACTGTCTTTACTTTTATTTATATGTGTTTCCTTTTGGCCTTAGAGGTGGTTCTGTTTTTTATCTTTAGAAGAAATCTGATCTCACTCTTTCTGCTTTCATCTGAGTATCAATAAACTGAAGTAGCTCAGATTAATTATTTTTAATTCTGGTTACCCCATAGGATTATAAGGTTTAAAACACCTGACAATTTTCAAGTCAGGCTATAATCATTCTTTATGCATTTTTATTAATAGATCTAAATTAATGAGTAGTTTCATGCAAATGATCAATTAAATAAGGCCTGATATCTTACTCCTTTACTTATCAAGTGTTTTCTGACAGCTCTGGGTCTTTGTTCTTTGCCAAATGTGATGTAGCTGACATCATTTTCAAGAGCAGATATTTTTTTCTTAGGATAAGGAATTAATAAGCCCTGCTTTCTTAAAAAGATGTGTTAAATAGCTAAGACTGATAAAATTGTATTGACTTACTGATGTTGGATTTGGAAGTTGGTTCTTGGATTGAATAGCTGATTTATCTGAGTGGTTTGCATGTTTTTAGTGCTATGCATGATGGGGAGCAAATACTGCAATGTTTCTTGAGTTTGAGCTTTTCCTTTATCCTTGTAGATTCTTTTTTCATCATCTGTCCAATTTATGCCAGTCTTCTTGCCTTGGAAAGATATACATTCTTTTATTTTGCTTTTTAAGTTGTGGTGCAGATCTGGGGAGCAACCACAAAAATATGTACAGAGATATGAACTGTATTTATTAACAATCATTTATCAGGCATTATTGTATGCCAAGGATTTTATCCAAAATTCCTTGCCCATCTGAAGCTTGTACTTTAATGGCAGTGGGCAGAAAATAAAGAAACAAGTAAAACGTTTATTATGTTAGATAATGATAAAGTTTACAGGATTAAGTGAAGCTGCAGAGGGGAGTAGAGAATTCTTGAGGGGTTGATTTCTATTTTTAATAAGATGTTAAGAGAAAGCCTCCTTATGAAGCTGACATCTCATGGAAGTTAAGAAGTGAATCAAACAGGTTTCAGGGGAAAGAGAATTTGAAGCAAAGGCCCTTACTGAGGTAGGAGAGTAGTCGTGTGTTCAAGAACACCAAGAATGCATCAGTGGCTGGAGTAGAATGAACAAAAGGGAAAGGTATAAGAGATGAGTTCAAGTAGGTAACTTGGGTTTGGGTCATGCAAGGCCTCATAGGCCTGTGGAAGGACTTTGATTTTTGCTGAATGTGAGATGGAGAATCACTGGAAGGCATTGAGCAGAGGAGTGTCAGCCTGAGATTTGTTTGGAAAAAATTGTGCTGGTTGCCAAGTTGAGAACAGGTTGAAGAGAGGCAAGCGTGAACAAGCAGGGAGATCTCTTGGAAGGCCGCAGAAACAATCCAGGAGAGAGGGTGGTAGCTTGGACCAGGTGGTGGAAATGGCTAGAAGGGTAAGAAGTGGGGTGGGGGTATTCTGGGCACATATGTGGATTTGATAAAGAACTGGATGTGAGATGAGAGAATAAGAGGAATCAATGGTGGCTCCAAAGCTGCTAGTTTGAGGAAATGGCAGTATAGGGATGGGAAAGACTGGGAAGATCATGTTAGAAATCCCTTCTTTATTAGATAATATGAAGGAATTATTGTTTTGTTAATGGAGACGCTGGAATGTAAAAACATTTTTAAAATGTTTATCCCACCCCATATTAGTTAGGATGGCTGCTGTCAAAAAAACCTCCAGAAACTAACAAGTGTTGGCAAGGATTTAGAAAAACTGGAACCGTCACACATTATTAATAAGGATGTAAAATGGTACAACCATTGTGGAAAGCAGTATGATGGTTCCTCAAAAATTAAAAATATGATTACCATATGACCCAGCATTCCACTTCTGGTTATAGCCCCAAAAGAATTGAGAGCAGGGTCCCAAAGAGACATATATACATACATATTTATAGCAGCATTATTCTTAATAGCCAAAAGTTGTAAGCAACTCAAGTGCTCATTGATGAATGGATTAATAAAATGAGGTATATTCATATAATGGAATGTTATTTAGCCTTAAAAAGGAAGGAAATACTGACAAATGCTACAATATTGATAAACCTTGAGAGCATTATATAAAATAAACCAGACACAAAAAGACAAATGCCCTATTTGTCATCCAAATATTTCACTCCACTTCCTAATTTGACTAGAATATTCCATTGACTAGAATAGATACAAAAGTAGAAGGATGGTTTCCAGGTGCTTGGGGGAGGGGAAAGTGAGAAGGCGCAGTTTAATAGGCATAAAGTTTAAATTTTAAAAGAGGAAAAGGAGTTCTGGAGATTGTACAACGTGACTGTATTTAACACTACTGACTGCACACTTAGAAATAGTTAAGCTGGTAAATTTTATGAGTGTATTTTATCACAATTTAGAGACAACGTTCTTGGGAAGGGGTGGGGAACCCTGAGTAAAGCCTGAAGGAAGACTAGTAGTCAGATATTTTAAAAAGAGTCTTATAATTCATAATTATCATGCCTAAATTGGTCTATAGATAGCATAAGAGAAAGTAGAATACTTTTAGAATAAAAGCAAGAAATACACTGTGCTTTGTTAATAAGTGTTTATCTAGTAAGTGATATACTCTAAACTGTTTATAGGCAAAATAATATAATTTACAGAATTTATTTTAAAATAGTCTAGGGAAAAAGTGGTAAGAAAACAGATGAAACAAGAGTAGCAGGATGCTGATTAGGATGGGTGATGGGCATCAGTGGACTCATTCTTCTTTCTACTTTTGTTTATGTTTGAAATTTTCTACAATAAGTTTTTTGTAAATAAATTGTCTATTCTTAAAAGAAAAATAAACAGATAAAGCATGCCTTATATTAAGTTAGATCTGAAAGATAATATATGATTGCAATATCTGGCAATACTGGCAAATGAAATGAACTTATTTACAGTTTCTTGATAGGCCATTCTTAAAGGACGATTCAATAAACATTCATTGAATGTAGGCCTGGTATGGTAGCTCATGCCTTTAATCCTAGCTCTTTGGGAGGCTGAGGCGGACAGATCACTTGAGGTCAGGAGTTTGAGACTAGCCTGGCCAACAGGGTGAAACTCTGTCTCTATTAAAAATACAAAAATTAGCTGTGTGTGGTGGCAGGTGCCTGTAATCCCAGCTATTCAGGAGGCTGAGGCAGAGGAATTGTTTGAACCCAGGAGGCAGAGATTGCAGTGAGCTAAGATTGCATCACTGCACTCCAGCCTGGGTGACACAGCAAGACTCTGTCTCAAAAAAGTAAAAATAAATACACATACATTCACTGAATGCTTATATCTAGCACTATTTTTGTTTGGTAAATATATGTGAAAAACACAGTCCCTGCCTTCAATATGTTAAGAATCAGGACTAGAGAGTAAAAAGTGAAGTATCTATTAGAATATACTTCTATACAGATAAACCAGAACACTTACTACCTACATATACTTGTAGCCATACTTATAGATGGGGGAAAGGGTATTGGGTAAATGAATAAACACAAGTCAGCCAAGTAAAAAAAAGAATGATCTAGGTTGTGGGACTAACATGGCACATTCAGGAAATCACAAGTGTGGTGTAGAATAATTGGGATATCAGGTAGGTATGAAGACATGGTTCAAAACTAGAGACTTTGTTTGCAGTAACACTTTTGTGAGAGCTCCTCTGAGATGGGAATAATTCATGACTGACAGTGGCTAAATAAATGTGTTTTGAATGAAACAATTAGGGGGCCATTGAAGATTTTATGCAAGATAATCAATTTGCATTTTTGAAAGATCACACTGGCACCCGGGAAAACAGAATATTGAAGAAAAGTGAAACACAAGGCAGGGAGACAAATTAGGAGACTAATGCAGTTATTCAAAGGAGGCAAAATGATGGTTTGAATTAGCAGTAGCATTAGGATGAAGTGAGCAGATTCAAGAGAATCTTTAGAGGTAAATGGATATACCTTCATGTTATTAGATACAAAAAAACAGAAGTGTACAACATTAGGATAAGTCTTGGATTTATTACTTAATAACTGGATGATGGCAGTATACTGACTGAGACATGGAATGAGGAGAAAGAGATCAGCAGTGGATAAGTTGAATAGAAGCGTCTGTGGGGAAAAACAGATGGAGATACCCAGTAGGCAGAGGAATATAAAATTCAGGAGAGGCTTAGACTGAAGATTAAAAAAATATGATGGTTGTCAGTTGCTGGTTGAAGCTACAGGTAGAGACGAGAGTGCTCAAAAATAAAGTATGTGGTGAGAAAGACCAAAGGATGGACTACTGGAAAATAGCCCACTTAAAATTTAGGCAGAGGTGATGTCCTGCATGGTCTCCCCTTCACATATTTCATCACATGTTTCATGAACGGCTGGAGAAACAGGAGTAAAACAGGGAGAGAGTAGTGTCACAGATACGACACTCAGATAGTCATTGAGCTATTGTGGAATAGCTCACAACATGAATATTCCACAATAGCTCAATGAATCAAGGGAGAGAGTTTAAAGGCCCTGGGAATAATCAACAGTAAAGAAGTCAGTATGGCTTTGTAAATAACCATTTCATGGTATGGCAACAGTAGAAATCTTCTTAAGCAGTAGGTTGAGAAGTATACAAGTAAGGAAGTGAAGGTAATGAATGTTGGCTATATTTTGAGGAAGGTGAGAAAGAGGGCAGTAATTAGAGTTATGTCACTAAGGAAACATGGACAGGGGATCTAGAGCACTGCTGAATGAATTAACCTTAAACAGAGGGATATTTATTTCTTTGAAACAAGAAGGAAGGATGTTTGAGATGAGTTAACTTACTGATGGATCTCTGGTTTTTGTTTTTGTTTTGTATGTGTGTGAAGTAAGAAGTGAGGTTATCATGCTGAGGGTAAAGGGGATACATTAGGTAGGAGAGACAGAGGAAAAGATTTAGAATAGTTACTTTGGGAAATGGAAGAGATAGTTGATCAAGTATATGTATATGTAAATTGGGCAAACAAGAATGTATGTGCTATTTGGTAATGCAATTTTTCTCCAGGAGGGCTCTGTAATCTAAAATAGGGGCATAGATGATAGTTTCATGTAGAATTACAGTTGTTCAGCATGGGCTTAGTCAAAGGATACGGAGGCAAAAGGAGTTTTAAGGACATTGTTAAGTGTTTGGGAGGCTGGCTAGGAGCTAGCATGTAACGTTCTCATGGAGAGAAACAGAAGGGGTGAGTAAATACAGCACCTTCAATTGAAACATTCAGGTACACACATTGGGATTCATAAAGAAAACAACTTGACCCATGGAGAACAGAGAAAAGCAGGGCAGGACAACTGTTCACTCAGGAGTGACACGGAGCCAGGAGAGCCTCCCCTGCCCAAGGAAGGGGTGAATGAGTGAGTGACAATGGGGACCCATGCTTCTCCCACAGATCTTTGCAGCTCCCAGGTCAGGAGGTCCCCTCATGAATCCACTCCACCAGTTCCTTCAGTCTGACACACACAGTTATTAATACATGGAGTCTTGGCAGAGCAGCCTCTCAGGCTCACACAGAGCCCCAGATTCAAAAGGCAAGTTCCTAGAGGCCTATAAAGAGACTTAGATTCCATACAATAATAGTGAGAGACTTCAACACTCCCCTGACAGTATTAGATCACCAAGGCAGAAAATTAACAAAGATATTCAGGACTTGAATTCAACATTGGACCAAACAGA